TATGGATGGAATAGAAAGAATGCAGGTGGAGACTGGGGTTCCTTTTTGGCACCATCTTCCCCACCATCACCTGTCCAGCTGGGATTTCACCATATAATAATGAGTTTATGTAAAAACTGAAGGTCGTGGGGTAAGAGAGAGTGGACAGAGTGATGCCTGAAGAGGAGTGCATTGTTTCCTCTTTCCAGTGTTACGGAAAATATTCTCTCCTCTGCAACATCCCACAAGGGGAAAATGCAAGGACAACACTGAATAGGAATTGCTTTAGTGGGTAATCTGGCTGGAAATGCCTCAGCCACTTTGTCCAAGTTCTGCACAGATGGCACAGGTCTTCCACATAGTCCCCCAAGATATGCCAAAGTCTGAACAGGAACCACAGTCATTTTTGCAGAGAGCGAAACAAAAATAAAAAGCAATGTCTGGGTATTTTTCCCGTTGCTCCTAGAAACACAGACTATGGACAAAACCTAAAAGGTCTTACACAGACAGAGCTCTCAATAAAAGGTACAGAGGATTTGCCTCAGTAAAGACTTCAGAAATTGGCATCTCTTTGTCGTGTAATGATTCTGCTAAAAGCAAAGGCATTTACAATGTTTTATAACTGATGTGGTGGTACCTGTCACCAATAATGAACTTTTTTCTTCAAAATATGTAAATTAAAAGTTTCAGATTGATGTGAATGATTAACAACAATCATGTAACCCGTAAAATTCTTTTTACACAATAATAATCTCCTGACAATTTACTCCAGTTCCTCAAGCAAGATTTGTAATGGCTCTAGATCCTTTGACAAAGTTAGACTCAGTATTTATGTTTATTTAGTAATAGAGCGATCAGGTCATTTCTTATGCAAGACATCAGCAGGGACCTTTGCATGCCTCTCCCATCATTGCATTTTGCAGAACAATTTTACTTAGAGCCTTAGTCTGTGATTCATTTCATATCCCCATTCCCCAATGAGATGATTTGGTGTATGTTTGATTTACCAGCAGCAAAGCAGGCATTGTGTCTTTTAGTATCTCAGACATGTCTGTATAGATTAGAATTGTAACCTACAGCTGCAACTTACACTGAACAGATTTATATTTCAGAATACTGAGAGCACGATATAATTCATCATACATAGCATGTTGGCCTGCTTGTCTCTTTTGGGATGTAAGGGGCAATCATTGGAGTGGAACAAGGAGTCTTGGATCTGGGGGAAAGGCGAGGAAGTCAGATGTTAAAAATGAAATTGTAGCAGTTCTACTGCCAAGGCAGAGCCAGGGAATGCAGTAAAACCAAGCTTGTGCAAAATTATCTCCCTCTGTATAAGTGCAATATGAATAATACACATTACCTTTCTAAGCAGGAAAAATGTAGCGCCTTCTAGCCCAAGTTCTAGTCCAAAGCTAGAGACAAATACAAGCAAGACAGCAGGACAGCACTTGTCAACAGGACAGCTAACAGCTTCATTGTGATCTGGACCTCACTCTGTCCTATAGGTTGCTCACAGGGCCTGCTGCTCCTCATCCTCCAAAAAAGAAAAAGCTACTTTCTACCTAAATGTTTCAGGTGAAAGCCTGGGTCAGTGAACAGTTGAATGTTAATTTACTCAGAAACAGATTCACGTGGATTATTTAGGACGAAGGGATATTAAACGGGTGCCATCTCTGCCATGCAAAGTTCCAGCACCACTGCTTGCCAGAACCTGGGCTGATAAACCACTTGAGCAACTGATCCACACTTGCTCTGTTTCTTATACTTGTCCATAAGCAGCTTCTGTTGGCCACAGGATACAGACTGCTGGTCTGGCACCATATGTGTATGTTCTCAGTTGTGAGTTACATTTTTGTTGAGGCTTTTGCTTCAGGGTCTAAAGGGAAGCACATTTCGCTGTGTTTGGTTGGTAAAAGCATGATGCTGAGGGGAGGAGCTGAGTGGGCAGGGCTGGTTGCAGTTCAGTTTCATGCTGCTGCTCGATCAGTGTGCAAGGCACGGACAACAGCTGTTACAGCAGCACCCTGCTCGCCTTTATCTGCTGTTGAGGTGTTTTAATAAGACGTTAAATGAGAGGTGGTAGCAACCAAAAGGTAGTTCCATTTTAAATATGGCCATAGCTGGACTGCTCTTCCTGCTCTTCACACCCGTAAAATAAGATACCAGCAGAAGAGGGGGCTCAACGTTTAGCTTTGCGAGGGAGGAGAAGCATGCCTGTTCCCAGTGCAAGTAGCAGGAGTGAAGCAGGGGCATTAATGATGTGTGGAGATGGGTCAGTTCAGTTCTTCTGCAATTTTTCCGGATGCATGAGTTTGAGTCTCACCTTGTCTATTGCCCTGCCACTTCTCTTGTGCTGAAAAGAGGGCACAATGTCATTTAATCTCGTGATTCAGAGGCAAGCCAGGTATGATGCTAAAAACCTCTTTCTCTGGTGTAGAAATTGTCATGGCTGATGGGTCAGGGTGACCTTTTATCTTGACTTTGTTTGCCACCTTTTAAAATGCAGCAAAGTCTTCTACATTGATTCATGGAAGATACTGTAAGCCTAAAACACAAAACTCACCATCTATGTGATATGTGCAACGTAAGACATTTCAAAGCTCAAAATGTTTTGGAATTTGCCAAAAACATGGCAGAACTATTTCTGTTGCTTTTGTATGTGTTAATGTTTGAATCGCTCTTGTTCTAGGAAAAGCACTTGCTTTTACCACAGTGAAATCAGTGAAAGGTGTGTCTTTGGTTAATTATCTGCACCATTTGGCACCATAGTCATAAGGCTCCTAAGGAAGAGGAGGATCATCTGAAACCACTTGCTAATTCTGTTTCCAAGTCTTTCCATTTCAGATAACATTTTTCTTTAGTGCAGAGATTTACATTTTTCTTAAAAAATTGCATTTTGCCTTCCGTTCTGGAACCTACTTGGCTTTCCAGGGAAGGCAGTGCACTGCACATAGACTCACAGGGATCAAATGTTAGCTCTTAGTGTGAAATCATCTTCTGCACATTTTTATATTATTGCAGTTCATAACACTGCACCACAAGATGGAAAACAGTAAAAGCCTCTTTATTTATAAGGTTATTACAGGTATCCTCCAGTGTATCTCATGTGTATACATCCTGTCAAAATATTTCAGGATTTTGACAACAGTGCCTGAACTTGTTTCAAGTGACATGATGAGACTTTTAACTGTATTTTTTTACAGTTTTAGTATTTTTAAGAATAGCTAATAAAACTGTTACCCATGCACTAAAAAACATAAAGAATCCCTTGGTGAACAAAAAGGTTTAAATAAGCATCAGTTCAGTTTTGCAGTTAAATAACCTGTACAGAAAATTATTATGATGTTCTTTATAATTGCTCTGAAAAAAAAAAGTCTTGAAGTCTACGGAAGGCATAACAGACGTAATTAATGCCCACACTGTTTCTGCAGAGAAACAGATTTTATGTAATGTAAATGCGCTGCATAGAAAATGTTCTTGTGCTTATTTTATAGTTTGCCCTTATTTTTCCCTTGTACAGCTGTAGCGTATGGTATTTTACAATGTGATGTGTATCTGTCTTCAGAATTGCAAGTTGTATTATCATTTCTGAAATGTGAAAAACAATTCTATATTTCCTGTATTTTTTAAGTGTCGATGTCAATTATGATCCAAGGTGTGTTTTCATGTCCCAGGAATATGGATGTGTTTGTCCACGTGTACACATTCATGTTCTAACATAGGTGGCTATTTCATTGTTTTGTTCATTATGTGTGCATGTAAGTGTAGGTATTATCAGGAGCATTCTTTTTAGCTTTTAGAATAAAAGCTGAATCAGAGGCTGAAAATACTGACGCATCTGGAATTTCAGAGCATTTCCAGGGACTGACAATTAACGGTAGTCAACCAACCCTGTACCTCGTCACTGATGGATGATTAGAGTTTAGCTAATGAGAAGGTGTTCAGAGAACAGTCAGGGATTTTTTATGCACTTGTCAGTTTGGTTGGGGATCTATGTGGGTTTAAATCTGAGTTGATATCCACAAAGTGGTCTAGAAGAATCCCTGTAAATGGTGAGACTATTATCTGCTGTCAGTAGTTTTGTGTTTACGTGTTAAGCTCTGCAGGTCAGAGATCATTGGTTTATATGTTTATAAAGCTATATTTCTATCTGTGTTTCTAAAGTATCTAAAATAAGTGGCCTGGCCTCCCAGTACCACTGAATGGCAAATGGTGATTAGCAGAAGAGGACCGTTCTGTTCTGTGCCTGGCAATGCTCACCCATACTAACAGGTCAGCTTCATAGGTGCTGTTTGCTGAGACTTTTTCGTTGGAGCCAGATTCTTCTCAGGCGCATCCAGTGAAAGGACAAGAGGCAATGGGCACAAACTGGAACACAGGAAGTTCCATTTAAATATAAGAAAAAACTGCAAGGGAAATTGAACACTGGACCAGGTTCCCTAGAGAGGTTGTGTAGTCTCTGTCTTTGGAGATATTCAAACCCTGACTGGATACGGTCTTGGGTAGCCTCCTCTAGTTGACCCTTGTCTGAGCTGAGAGGTTGGACAAGACAATCTCTAGAGATGCCTTGCAACCTCAGCAAGTTCTGTGATTTGCTTGACGAGGACCTAACTGGATATGTCTGTGCTTCCTGAACAGAGCAGGCTGGGGAATACCACTGTCTGTCTGCAGGCAAAGGTCTGAGCATAGCTGATGGTTTGCCATGCTTAGCATCAGCACCCCGGAAGGCACACTTGGGTCTGGGCTTGCAGGCTTACTTCTGAACAGCCTTCAAGCCTGATCTAAGGGCTGCCATTAGGAAACCTAGGCATAATTAGTGTTATTGAGTCCTTTTTTTCCTGAACTGCAGTGGTGGTATCGTGACAGAGGATTAAGTAGAGAATTAATATCCTGAATTCTTGTCGTTCTTTCCCAGTGAAGTTGCAGGAAGGGTCATCTGATAATAAGTAAGTCCAAAGAGTTTGCTAATTCCATGTGCTCCTCTGCCAGGATATTGCTGATAACTGACTTATATTTCGCAGGTATGCAGTGCAATCCAGAATCAAGATTTCACTGTTATTGATGACTACTGCAGTGGACTGCGAGCTCTTCTTTACCTGAAAAGCATTGAGGAACTCAAAGACTGGAATGGACAGAGTCCTGCAACCATGCGCCATCAGAAAGGAAAACCAGTACCTAGAATTGCTGATCTGATGGGAAAGGTATGTTGTTTCATTGCCATTCCTGTATAATGACGCTATGTCTTGGCTTTGAATGCAATTCCATAATCATTGTATGCAGTTTCTGTTACTTACCTTGGTTGACCACTGCTGCTGTCACAATTAGTCACCAAGTCTTTTTCCTTCTGAGTATTAACAAATATAGCTTAAGAAGACAAACTTGAAATGACTTGATATGGGATAACATTTTTACTATAAATATGATCTCTCCACTTGACTGATAACATCATGTCTTTAAAAAAAGTGTAGGATGTAAAATTACAAATGCATTGGTACAAGTTCTGGAACTGCTTGTTTTAATGAAACTCAACTCAATTCAGATTAATACTAATACTGTGCCAGAAGTTCCTGGGTGTTCCAGCCATGGTGCAACATTCAGGAGACATGAAAGCCTTCTAGCACTGGACCTGACCAGCTGACATCTTGTCACAAACCAGCTGTTAGTTGGAACACTAGATCAGGTAGGAGCGGCCCTTCAATCATCATACCTGAGCATCTCATGGTCCTTCATGTGTGCTGGCTCCCAAACCCTCTGCAAGGCAGGGAAGTTCCAGGTGAGGAACAGTGGCACCAAATAATTTAATAGATTCCGCAAGATCATTTAAACCTAGAAGTCTGTGGTGGAATAGGAATGTAAACTATGGTCTCTCTGAAGTCCTAACCTCTGGACTGTCTTTCTTTTCTGCTCTAGTAGTTCCCTGCTACAAAAGCATCTTTGGAGATTTTTGCCAGATGCAGTGGGTTGCAGCCGCCCCAGTACTGCTCACCCCTCCACCAGGGCACCAGCTGATCCATGCTGAGAAGCAGGGAGGTGTAACTGGCTTCCTACCGATGCCCCGCTGCCTACTGCTCTAAGCAAAATACCTGCACAGCAGGGAGGCTGAGCTTTTGTTTCTGGTTACTAGAGGGGATCACTTTGAAGACTGATTTCAGTTATACATCATGCCTATTGATTATCCTTCCAAAAATCTGATCTAACACTGTTGAAAATGTTGTATAAAGTAAAGAATTACAAAAGAATAGGATTTGGAGTGTCAAATGCCTCCAAATCTCTGCTTATCATTGCTGATGACTGGAGTTGGATTTAGCAGGAGATTAGAGACTCCTATATTGTTGTTGTTCTCTGTGGAGCTCTGAAAATTATAACATTACCTTCCAGGAGAAAAGACAATCCTATTCCTAAAGCTCTGGATAATACGCTGCTTAAAAATAAAACAAGATATAAGCAGTTTCATTTTCATTTACTTATGTTAAGCAGTTAAACCAGGCTCAAAGGGTTATATCTAAACTTCCTTCCTTTAACACCTGTAGAAACATACACAGCATTTCCAATTGATGTAACAGAGATTTGTTGTAATTCTTCTTTAAAGCTGCAGTGTTCTATCTTTGTATTACCTTTGTATTTTACTAAACAGACAACCATTGTCAAAGATGTTTCTCATGTCCTTTTGAATGAGAAAAAAAAATTATAATTCTTAGTCTTTTCCGCTTGTCACTACATCAATAATTAACTTTAAAAAGGTAGTGTGAAAAGATGCTTTAAGAAAGCATTTAATAATTCAAAGGAATCTTAACTTGAAACAGGTCACATGAAAAAGAATGAAAAACAAAGCCCTGTGTAATCTTGTCTGGCTGGCTCTGTTAGACATTTAAAAGGAACAAGGCATACAGAATATAACTGATTGTGTATTTGATTGCCCTTAGCACTGAATTATATCATTGGATCGTTGCTACTAAAGAATAACATATAAAGTTAACCAGGCTGCATCATTGATAAGGTAGAGATATATTTTAGGCATAAGCTCATGATGGCTGTTTGTCCAGGAATGAACATTCAAGGGAAAAGGAATAAAAATAATACAACACGGGTAAAAGAAAATACCATAATAAATGATCCTACTAGGGGCAATCAAATACAAAGGCTTGATATCATTAATATTTATAATATCATAATTAGCAAGACTGTGCCTAAGCAGTGTTATTAGTGTAACTAATTATGTTATCATAAACTAAGTTTGCAGTATTATAGCAATCAGTATTCTTACCTTCATAAATTATTATCAATATTGGATTTCACGTACTTGTGCCTAGTAAATTTAGTTAAGTACTGTAGTTTCATCTAGATTCAAACACAAATATCTAGCTTGCTTGGCAGCAAGTCATAACACACACTTCTGATTCTCTTTCTAAAATAAATTCACTAAAAAGCACGTCCTTACTCTCTATGTGGAAAAGAGAAGATAGCCTGTTGATGTGATGTATGTGTTCTCGTCAATAAAAGTAATGTGTAGAAATGTATATGTTATACATGGAGTAAAATGTGACAGCCAAAATCGTGCATTACTGTTTTAAAAACTTATAAGGAGCTGTCCAAGTTTGTCTTGGTATTACTGTGAGATGAAATGCAGTTTCTTCAGTAAGACCCCATGAGAAGCTAAACAGCAAATACTGTTGAACTTTTGCATTTAAAAAAAAAAGTGAAGATGCTAATTTTGATACGTTGTATTTTTGGTGCAATAAATGTAAAAATGTAAAGGAATCCCCCTCAATTTTGTTACAAAATTCCTATTAATTTTCATACAGAATCACGGGGATAAGAAGTTCAGGCAATTGACAATTTAATGAGAAGGAACAGAGGGACAAGAATTATTTTCGACAGCATCAAGAACCACTTGCCTTCTGATTGTATACAAATTCATTGAGCCTCTCCCAGTTTTGAATATATTAAGAGTTAGGACCAGTCCTATTCCCAGCTAAGTATGTTCATAATAGTATCTATTTTGATTCACAGTGCAATATTGAATGTTAACGTCCATATTTTTATATAGCAATGCACTATTTTGATAATTCTTTTTCTGTCCTGGTTTCAGCATCAAACAGATGCTGAGTGCAGAGTGTTTGCCACAGGAGAGTGACACAGTAGAGTTTTGTCATGAAATATTGTAGCATTTGATGACCAGAGTAAACTAAAAGATAAATACTTTCTTGTAAATGGTACATCTGACATCAAATTGAAGCTGTCTTGCCATGTAGTCACCAGGTAAATGACAAACTGAACAGTTATCACTGTCAGTTGTTACATTTACCACAATAATTTCCTTCCTAAACAGAAAAAAACCTAAAACCACTGTGCTAAATAGTGTAATATTATAAGCAGTTTAATAGCGAACACATCAACTTTTGGCTGAAAAAGAGAATCATGTTGATTAGTACCTGTTCATGCTTCTGCATTAATGAAACTAATACTTTCATCTGATAATTTATAGCCCTTAACATATGAGAAGCATCATAACACTAGAAAATATTTTGGAAACTTGAGTGCTGTTTTTGTGTTTTTCACTGTTGCAGAATGTATTTTTTGGTATATAGACCTTAAATTTATCATCTTTGAGTCAGCTAGTAGGTATTTTCTGATAGTCTTTTCAAAAGCACTAGCTTTTTCCCTTTTGCTAACACAGCAGTTGCTGCTGGAGTTAATACTTGCCATTGTCCAAGATGTGACCTGTGGTACTACACTGCCTGTAATAGCAGTGAGATTGCCGCTTAGAAATGCTAACCTCAGTCATGGCTTCCAGTCACTGGGTGATACTGTTTTCCATAGCTCCACCAATTTTATTCATTCTTTCCTGCGACTGTAGCCTTATCCATAACCGCTCCAAAGACAGTCCTAGCACAGATGCTGCATCAGACTCACAAAGGTGGACAAAGCCAATATTCTGGGCTTCCTTCCTCATTGCTTTTCTGATGGCTTATTTAGTTGGGTGGTTTTTTTTTCTGTGGGAGGACTTGACATTTGAAGCCTTGACAAAGATGACTGTCATTAATATCACCTCTGAATCACCTTTCTATTAAATGCATGGAATAAAACTTGTCAGCTTGTCTCAGCTATAATCTCAGCTTGCAAATCTCGACACTGAGATGAGAGAATGGCAAGGTAATGATGACACCACACTGCTTCTCACTGACTCCCTCGAGGAAGAACTTTTGTAAAAGCACATTTACCTCAGCATGAATTTAGGACTGAGATTAAGTGCATGATGCAATCAGGCAGACAGTTAAGATGTAGAGCATGCTCATACAACCCAAAGTTATTAGGGTAGCTGCATAAAAGAAAGGCAGAGCACAGGTAGTATCCTTATAATCCAAAATTAACAGAATTATGTTTTAAAATAATGTTCCTGAGTTTCTCAGGAAGATACATGACCAGGAGCAATAAAGATAACTCTGTTCTCACCAGGTATCTGGATAAGGTACAGTATTCCCCAGAGGTGCAATTTGATCTCCTGTGTGTAGTCACTGTCTCACCTTGTCTGTTTATTACAGAACTCTCTTATTAGTTGCTCACTGATTTTACTCCAGAGAGCTGAAGTGATTATGTCCCAGAAATGCACTGGTGTCAGCTGGTGGTCACAGAAGTGGTATAGTGTTTTTCTGTATAAAATTCCACCCAATGTCAGCTATAAAAATCATACTTAACGCGGTGGCCTCTATACATGCCAGATAGCTAACCATTAAAAAATATGGCAGTGTATTCAGTTAGTAGGTGTGGGTTTATAGGAAGAGATAAATATCTACGGATGTTTCATACCTTGCTTTCAGCACTAGGAGTTTTGCAAAAACTGACATATGTTTGATCAATTCTAAAGGTTAAAAAATTAAAAAGAAGAAAAAGTAATAATTTAAGCATCTTGATTCCAGAAATATCCAAAACCCAAAACAAACTGGTTTTCATAGTGGATCCTCCTCAACTGCTAAGGTTGTGCTGTATTGAAAACGTTAAAACTATATCTGATAAAAACACATTTATAGAAGGTGGTTTTCTCCAGCAGACAAATGAGAGAGAATGATCCTGAACATGCATAGTATATGAGCTTCAGTGAAAATTCTCATCACCTTAAATTTAGCAAGCTGCTGATTTTGTTCTCTGAATGCATGGACTTCCCATTAAGACTAAAATACGCACTTCCTTGAAGTATCTATGG